GCTAATTAGCATTATTTTTATTTACTTTTATTCTTACGATGGTGCGCTGCGCCAAGCTAATTAGCATTATTATTATTATTAAATAAGTTGTTATATAGGCCCTATTTTTTGTTCATTACATATTAGACGTATTACGAAAGTTTTTTTACTGCCCTTTTTTTTATTTTAATTTTAGTGGCCCAAAAATAGGGGCAAGAGAAAACACTGGACCAAATCTCGAAAGTACCGCCTCCGCCAAGAAGCTCTCGAACAAGTGGACCGGGAGGAGAAAAAAATAGCAGCAGAAATTCGAGATTTGGCCGAATCTCATGCAAAAGATGTAAGAATAAACTGGCTCGAAGAAATAAATTTAAAGCTTAACTCGGAGTTGGATAGAATGGAGGACGTAAATATGACGCTGTACTCCGAGCTAGAGCAAGTGAAAGATGAAAAGCGAGAAGTCGAGGCCGAAAAAAGAATAATAGAAGAAGAGAGGGATCAATATGCTTCCTTGTGGGAAGAAGCCCACGAGGAAGCATATCAATACAAAAAAAAAGTGGCCGAATATAAAGAAAAGGCCGTCGAATATAAAAAAAAATATAAAGAGCTTTTAAATGAGCGAAACGGCCTTAAGATCGAAATCGCAAACATGAAGCTCGATTAAAAAATATAAAAAAAATTAAAAAAAAAATTAAAAAATTAAAAAAAAAATTAAAAAAATTAAAAAAAAATTAAAAATTAAAAAATTTTAAAAATTTTAAAAAAAATTAAAAATTAAAAAAAAATTAAAAAAAAATTAAAAAAATTAAAAAAAAACATAAAAAACACAAAAAAAAAAAACGAAAGATGCAATTACTACAAGTCGGGATAAGAAAGTACTTCAAAAAGAAATAGAGTACAAACCTCCGGTGGGTGCCCAATAACGAGAATAATGTAGTTGATCTTGATGGAAATATTGAATTTAAAGAGTCCGTTCAATTAATGGAAGATGGTAAAGAATAAGTTAGCAGACATGTCCAATGATGCATATCCTTATTAGTTAAGTTCGTAATTTATTGTACTCACTATTCTTCTAATTGATATTAATGTCATTCTTAGCTAGTCACGTATAAAGTATTTTGCTTTAATAAATCTGGATAAAACTTGAGTTGTTCTAAAAGTTTGAAAGTTTAGTCGTAGTTTTTTTTTTATTTAATAAGATACCTTAAAACATCAAAAAATTCTTAATAATATAGCTATAAAACAGTAAATTCAGTCGGACTAGTGTTGTAACATTAATTAATCAATATACATATGACATTGCCAGCCAATTAATTCAATTTAAATAATCATATGACTAAACCGCAGCTTAATAAAGTTTAGATTATACTATATCGGTTATAGATGACTTATAACATCATCTATATAAAAAATCAGTTTATAAAATAAATTGAGCCGTAACTAATGACGTAAATAAGCCTGCATCTAGTATCGGTATTGGCATTAAATTTTTTAAAAAAAATTTAGCGTTAGGAGAAATTACATATAAGGACTGAAAAATGAAAATAATTACAATAAGGACCAAAAGTAAAATAATTATATATAAGGACCTAAATTTTGAAAATTTAGGATCCAAATTTATCATAACAAATTGGATTGAAAGTTTTAACGTTAACATTTAAAATTATATACCGGTAAGAGCTTTTTTTTTTAACAATTACCTTGTAATCAAAATTGCATTTATTCTCTTAGTGTCTTGCATGTAAAAATTATAACTATTTTTGCCAATTATCAAAAATAATTTAAATTTTTTTACGAAAACAGATGAGCTTTTGCGGCTCTAAATATCGTCTATTAACCTTCACAAAATATGATTCACTAGTTTTGGTATAGGATAAAATACGTTAGTTTAGAACAGAATAATATTGCAGAATTGATATATACCATGCTTACCTAGTTGAATTGTATCTTGGTTAAAAGTTATATTAACAAAGAAAATAATATAAAATATATGAAATACATAAAGTAATGCATATAGACAGTGATAACATTCAAAGAACCATCATCATTATATAAAGTTATTTTGGCCCTTATTTGTAAAAATTTTCAAAATTTTGGCCCTTATCGTTATATGTACTTTACAAAGCCTGTCAAAATTGAACTTGCTAAAATAAGCAATTTAACGGTGCAGATAATGTACTTTTGAAAATATAGTAAAACCTCTTTATGATAAAACTCTTGGTTTGAAGAATATGGTGCTTATAGAGAATTTGTATTTATTTAGAAGTTATAGAAAAAATTTTTTGTAATTTGTTAAGTTGTTTGAATACTTAAATAAAGAAAGCAGCATTGCTAAATTAGCAAAAAAACAAATTTTACTTAATAACTTATGTAAAGTAAAAATTAATTAATAAAATTTTAATAATTATATTAATAAATTTTATAAAATCCTATTATTTTTAAAATTTTACTAATTAATTTTTAGTTTTAGATACTAAATAAACTTGTTCAATATATATATATTAATAAAATTATTTTAGAATTTAAAATCTAAAGTTAAAATTTGAAAACAAAACTATTTTTGCTTTATTTTACTTAAATCAAAATTTTTTGATACTTTTTTTAAATAAATGAAATTATAAAAAATATAATGTATACAGTAGATTTGCTTATTTATATAAAAATTTTAATTGACTTTAATAGAAATAAAATAGGCTTTTTACAAAACTAATTTTGGTAGTATATGTAGATTAGTATTAAAAAATATCTAAAAATAATTTAGACTCAAAATCTAGACTAAACTTATAATTAAATTTGAACTTGTTTAAAGTTTAAAACTAGTAAAATTTAAAGTTTAAGTCTGGTTTAATTTCAAACCAATCTCAGATTAAACTGAACCCAAACCAAATTTAGTTGCACTAAAATTAGTAATGGTAATAATATT